CTCCAAAGGCAACTGTAAGTTGACTGCTGGAGCTACACATGCTCATATTAGAAGAGGATCCTTCAGTTCCTTTTACAGAGATTGGCTTGTGAAAACCTATATAAAAACCCTTGTATTATAATCTGCAGACTGCTTTAAAACATGTCTGGTTTCTTCCCATGCATTTTATCTGTGAATTAGGCAGGGCTCAAATAAAATGATACCATTTTATTGGTATCATTGCCCAAGTTATTGAGCAAGGACATTGCAAAGGCAGAACTTGAACCTGGATCTTTTTGCCCCAAGACCTTGCCCTTCCCAGGGCCCGGTGTGGGCTTCTTGGTTTTAAGTTGTTGCTAAGGTCAAGATTAGACAAGGGTTCATGATGGTGGCAAGCTGTTATCTTTCATTTCTTTGTTTGTTTGGTTTTTCCCTAAAGGGCATTGGTGAGCCTTATGAAAACATGGGCAGTGATTTGTGAACTTTCGGGGTGATGGGACATTACACACTGTATTTCCAAAGTCCCCAGAAAGTTTTCTTCTGGGTGTCTTTAAGGGGTTTGAATGTTTCTGAGAGCAGCTGACCTGAAGTCTTTGGAAAGCTTTGCCACTAACAGAATCATAATGATGGGAACACTTCCCTCCTCTCTGTTTCTCCCTCTTGCTGCCTCCACTCAGTGGTAGTGGCAGTGACGTGGCCCAGTTCCTCTGCACAGTGGCCAGTGCTGCACTAGACTTGGCCCCAGACTGCATGGGGCTGACAGTGCAGGAGGAGGGACAGGTGAATAACCAGGGAGAGAAGTAAGTAAACAAAATCACTGGAGATTTGCTATTTGGAATGAGTGGGGAGGAGAGGATAGGAAACTGTGGTTCAGCAAGAGAGGTCGGGGAAGGGGCATCTCTCTAGGGAGGTGACATTTGACCTGAGACATAAAGAAGAAAAGGCAGCAATTCAGGTGGAGGATGAGTGAGAGCCCAAGCCCTAAAAAGAGGATGAATTTGCATGTGTCCAAGGAGTATTGAAGAAGCCAGTGTGTCTGGAACACAGTAAACAAGGGCTAGAGGGTGCATGAGAGGACTGAGAGAGTGATGAGGGTGACTCATGAAAGTATGGATTGTATTCTAGAATCAATGGAACGCCAGGGGAAATTTTCAAGCGAAGAAGTGATATAAGTAGATTTATTTCAATTAGATAAGTGGATGGATAGATGAACAGATAGATGATAGGAGATAGATAGATAGATAGATAGGTAGATAGATAGATAGATAGACAGACAGATGATAGATGGATTTGAAAGATACAGATTTCCTACTAAATGGCTGGTGGGTTGAAGAAGCAGAAGTGGAGCCAAAGAGGCAAGTTTTAAGGCTGTTGTTGACTTGGTTCTGGTGAAATACTGGTTGTGATGTTAGGATGGTGACAGTGTGAATAGAATGACCTCGACATATTTAATATTTCATCTGTAACTTCTGAGGACTGGGCTGCGGGGAAACAGAGCGTCATGCCCTGATGCACTGTGGTCCAACTTGGCCAAGGCCGGGTGGGGTGGAGATGACCATGTGCACAGATCATGCATAACATGGCAGTCGCAACCCATTTTCCCATCACTCCATTGGGGTCCCTGGGACTTGCCGTTCTTCCTTCCGGCTGTGCTTAGCCAGCTTTGAGGACGCAGGGTCGCCGACGTGCCTGGCATAGCTGTTGTGAGAGTAGTGCTGGAGTCCACATCTTCCCTAATAACCTTGTCTAAATTGTAGTGTCACACAAGGGCGTGTTCAGAAATTAGCATTTGAAAAGAAGCCTCCTTGCTTTCAGTTTGAGCTGACATGGTCCCTTTTCCTCTGTGGAAATGAAATTTATTAATCATAATAAAACCATCAGAATCTGAAGGTAGAGGTCACCCTCAGGAGAAAAGGCGCCTGCTCATTTACCAGGAATAGTTCAGCACTGCTGTATTTTTCTTCTGCCCAGGCACAGAACATTGCCAAATTGTTACCTTGGGTTTTCCACTGAAGCTCTGCCCAGTGTTATAAACAAATCAGAATGTACAATTAAAGTACATGAGAGAAAAGGGTGGGAGCTACGTTTTCATGCAATGCATTCAGGCCACCACCATGTCGTTATCAAAAAGAGGAAATCTTTGCCACAGTAAAATCATTCCCCAAATTAAAAGAAAAAATAGTAATTGCTCCAAATTTGCATCTTCATACCCGTTTTGAAGGAATATCATGCTGTGGCATCGCATTTACAAGGGTGTTCAGTTTGCTTTTGTCGTTTATGTCATGTTCATACCACCAGCTTTGCTGAGGGAAAGTGCATTAATTAATTCTATGATCACTTTTTTTTTTAACCCTCTGGACTAATGACAACTTTACTTTCTCATGAAATTAAAAACTAATGACAAAGTTGTAGCTCATGTCCTTTTCCACCAATTGATACCTACTTCTAATTACGTGGGTTGAGGCCCAGCTTTCATGAGTGACCACCCAGAATTTATGAAAAATGTCATCATTCCTCTTGTTTTAACACACCCTGTCTTGGATTTCCACCTGTTTTTCCTCCCAGAGAGATAGGGCATCTTGGAAGGCCTTTTGTGATGAGCCAGAGGGCCGGCGAGTATCTCAGGGAATGAAGTGCAAGGGGGAGGGTGAACTTTCTGTCTCACTGAGAAACATCCCTTCTCACACTGCTTGTGAGGGTCCGGGGAACACTGTGTTGAAGCAGAAAACCTCAATCTGGATTATTTGAGCTTGGTGCCCCTTGAACAAGCAAGGAGGACTTGGGAAGAAGACACATCCAATGTGAACTGGCTGAATCCTTTCTTTCCAACTGGAATCTAAACTAGAGCCCATGAGGTAGAAGGATCCTCACCCAACTTCTTCCGAACTTTCAGGATTCCATGGTGTAAGCAATCATACCAGCCCATCCAGTATATTCTTTTTGTTTTTCTTAATCTTTATTGTTGAAAGTATTACATATGTCCCCTTTTCCCCTCACTGACCCCTTCTAGCCAGCGTGGCCCTGCCTTTCCCCCATCCCAGGCCTGCACCATCCTATTATCTGGGTTATGCATAAATGCATACAGTTTCTTTGAGTAATCTCTTCCCACCCACCCACTTCCCCTACCTTCCCTCTGAGATTCCCTCTGAGATTCCATAGTCTGTTCCGTGCTTCTGTGTCTTTACATCTATTTTGTTCATCAGTTTGTTTTGTTCATTAGATTCCACATATGAGTGAGATCATGTGATACTTGTCTTTCTCTGACTGGCTTATATGAGCCATCTAGTGTGTGTGTCAGGAAGAGAGGAGAGAGAGAAATATCCATGATAAGAAAGAGTCATTGATCAACTGCCTCCTGCATGCCCCCTAGTGGGGGTTGAGCCAGCAACTGGGGCCAGTACCCTGAATGGGAATCGAACCATGACCTCCTGGTTTATAGGTCGATGCTCAACCACTGAGCCATGCTAGCCAGGCCTACCCAGTAGATTCTTATTCACCAACTATAAGCAAGAATATTAGAAGCAAAATTGTGAAAAGATAGGGAAGGAGAACAATAAAGCATGTGCAAATCAGATTCCAAAAAATAGGAGGTGGCTTAAGGTTGACAGTAGTTGATAGAACACACAAACCATTTCTTCTGGCCTTGTTCCTTCATTCTTTAAAGAAAAGTCCAGGAGTCAAAAGCTGTGGATAATCCACATATATCCCATTTAATGACTGGTACCCCCAATCCCACCTGCTAACAGTGCTCAGGTGTTCCCTTCTTCAGAAAATTACCTTCTGCCCAAGAAAATCACTTCAACTAAGTCCTTCTCCACCCCTCAGGGAAACCTGCAGCTAATGCTCAACTTGCATGAGCATAAAAAACCAACCCCTTTGCCTCCAGCTGGGATTAGTTCTGGGGTACTACTCACGGAATCAGGTCAAAGTTAGTCTCTAGCTTAGACTATTTCTCTTTTTCCCTTGCTATTAACTGCCTGCCTCTCTCCTTCTCCTTCTTCTTTACATTCACAAGAATCCAATTTCAGGCTCTTCTGGGGAACCCAACTTAAGATTGCATCTCAGCTTTGATCATTACTGAAGGAGCAATGTTCAAACTACCGGCAAGGAGTTATCTGGCAGGCCATTTAAGTAAGGATACATGCCACCATGGAACCAGCCTTCCAGTGGCTCTGAGAAATTTAAAGATCAGTTCTGATGGTCTAGCTCTGTGATCTTGAGCAGTGACTTCACCTCTCTGAACCCTAATTTCTGATCTGTGGCATCATTCAGTCCCAGGCATTTAATAGGCACTGAATGCATCAGGCTTCCTTCCCTTCTTCACTTTTATTCTGAAGCTTGTGCTGAAAGTCAAGGCAGAAGAGGGAGGAGGATGGAATACTCAACTGTCATCAAGAAATACTGTTTAAAATGTATCCCTTCCCAGAACCTGGTCATAGGTTGATGAGTTAGAAGTTCTGGGGTGATAGGATTGAAATCAAAGCAGCTTTAATTCTTGAGTGGGGTGGAGTGGCATCCCACAAACCCTCTAAGGATGCTTCTATTTGAGTGTGTTTTCTCTTTACAAAGATGTTGGACCTTAACTGCAAAGACTGGGTCACTTCACCCATTTTGATTCACCCTTCCTGCTGTGATAGGTGACGGCCAAATTAGGAGAAAAGCACCATCTCTCTTGAGTATTTATATGTCCTCTGGGAATACTGGGTTTACTGTGCTTCTTAAAACCATTCTTTCATGTTGTTTTGTGTGTGTTTGTTTGTTTGCATACGTCGGTCTCCAGGGTAGCTGCATGAGCAGTGAGAAAGGTTCCTATGAGAGACCAGCCATGGTACATGGACAAAAGAATGTGCCATGCACAGATGGACTTTTCAAATGTTGTGTGGCAGATAGGAATATATATCTTATGTATGAAGATGAATAGGGCCCCTCCACACTGTCTTGGTATTTTGCATTTTATGGTTGCTATTATTACTTTGTAACTGCATATTATGGATTCATCTTCACCTCTGTTTCCCTTTCAGTTACGGACGAGTTTATGCTGCCGACCCCTACCACCACACACTTGCTCCAGCCCCCACCTACGGCGTTGGTGCCATGGTGAGTACCAATTCCTCCTCTTCCTCACTTCTTCCCCCACCCTTCCCTTCCCCAGCTGGGACCTTTGTATGGGTTGACGGTTGACGTCCTCTCACTCTCCCCTTAATTGAATTTGTCTCTTGTGCTAATCTAACAGCAGCTAAAATGCCACATTAATCCTCCCAGTAAACTTGATAAATGTCTTAATTTCTTGGCAATGTAGTGCATGTAAATTATTATATTTCTAATTTTGCAAGTCTCACCTAGCAGAGCACTTACCTTAATGGAATAATTAGTCATTTTGATAATTAAATCCATCACTAACAGAATGCAGTGTCAATGCAGAACTTTTTTTTTCTTTTTTTTTTCCCTCCCTTGCTGCTCATTCACATAGCCCCAAGGTTCCAGCCCCAGCACAGACTTCAGAGGAGCTAAGCTGCACACTTCCAGGCCTCTGCTGTCAGGCAGCTGAGAATCTGACTGCCTCTCCTCCCCTATTACAATTCATGTTTAAAGTCATAGTCGCCCAGGAAAGAAAATAGAGAGGGGCACACTTTGTGTGTGTGCCTAGTACATAAGGAATTAGAAGGAATCAGCTGGGTTTGGGGGTTGTCTTTTGTTTTTTGGGGGTTCGGGTTTTTGTTTGGGGGGTGGGGGAGGGCACACATGGGAGGTGAGGGTGGGTGAATTTGCCTGTACTTGTTCAAACTTCTATGCACTAAAACTCTTGAGTACAGTAAGACGTGCCCATCACGTGAGAGCGTATGCAATCATTACAAAGCTTTTGGCATGCAGCTTTCTGCTTGGGATCAAGAATCTCAGTCCTTTATCCTAAAACTCAATCCCCATAGGCATTCATTTGAATCGCCAATACCTTTAGAAAAAGGAAATAAATTAAGTGCCACCTCGTAGCCGTCTAAAGCCACGGCCAGACAATTCGCTGGAGCGTGGCGGTAGAAATTCAGCCAAGACCTGGGGACCATGTTCTTTTGCAAAGCTTAGTTACATCAAGCAATCCATCCGTAGGACTCCCCTCTTGAGCGCAAATTCCATACAGCTCATTGAGCCATGTCAAGTGATTTAAATTTCCATCCTGATTTTGCATTCAACCACTCTGGTTCAACACCTAGACCACTGGAGTTACGTGTTGGAAAAGAGAGTTTGAATGACTACATTCAGTCAGTCCTCTGCATTCGACCTCTTGAGTGTAGATTGAGCTTTTCCCAATGGGGAACATAGTGTTAATGAATCAAATGAGCAAACAGAATGAGACACTGCACATCCTTCAGTGGCCCAGTGTGTATCCGAGTCCTTTCAACTACCAGGACTGGCCGACAGAATTGGGTTTCAGAGGGGCTCTCTGTCTGAGGAGCTCTTGGGGAAAGGGGTTAGGATTGGCCCTATCTTCAGTTCTCCAAGAATGACCTGGGATGGGTAGGGGGTGCCTCCATTTTGGTTGAGTTTGAGTGTCTATTTTTCACATGAATAGTCTTTTTTTGATGATCCCCGTGTTGCAAAAGGAAAATGTAAAAAACACACCCCTCAAATTGCTTTGTTTCAGAATGCTTTTGCACCCTTGACTGATGCCAAGACTAGGAGCCATGCTGATGATGTGGGTCTCGTTCTTTCTTCATTGCAGGCTAGTATATACCGAGGGGGATACAACCGTTTTGCTCCATACTAAATGACAAAACCATAAAAACCTTCCAATGTGGGGAGAAAGGAAGCTTTCCGAGGCCTGGGTATTGCAATACATGCAGTAGTGCATCATTTTAGCAACTCTAAAAACTAAAAAGAGGAAAAAAAAATACATTTTTTATCTTATACCTCAGATATTTTGTTCTGTGTATTTTACTATTGTGGGTCTTTAATTTCTGAAGGTTCCGTAATTTGGTTGCTGGCTATAGGAGTTTTGTTTTGTTTTGTTTTTTGTTTTTTTGTGTGTGTGGTTGACCTAGAGAGATGCTAGCTATGAATAAAAACTGGTTTAGGGCCATATCCAGAGTGCTTTATCATGTAAATGAATTATATATGCTGAATAGTAAGCTACTGGGGTTATCAGCTGTTTGGGAAGAGTGTAAGTGACTACAGTAGTCATCTTTTCTGCATCTGCATTATTTTATTTTATGAAAGGGGAAAGGTGGGAGGGGCTTAGGGGATTGGGACTGGAGTTCGACTGAAAGAGAAAAAAAAATAGTAACTGATGAATCTATACGACCCACTGCACCAACGATCATATAGCAACGGTTCTAAGTTACTCATTGTCAGTTCAGGCCAAAGGTTATGCTGTTAAGGGGATGCTTCTAGCAGCCCTTGTGCATCCAAGTTGAATGAAGCTGTGCAAACCCACCCTTTAACCTTTCCCCCTGGGCAGTATTCAGCTTCTTAACCAGCCGCTAGTTATTTAGGCAAAAACTGCTAGTTAGGTCCATCAACAAGCATTCTTTTTATATTTCTTCCAGTATAATAAATTATTGATATCATTGCTGACTTTTATATTATGGGAGGGAAAAAAAATAACATTAATAAAAAGGTGATAAAAAGCACTGTTTCTATTTTTTTCTTTTTTTCCAAAAAAAGAAAGTAATAAAAACTTAAATTCTTTGTACCAGTTAAAAAAAATGTATAAAATTTACATCTGTGCAGTGGAGTTGTTAAGTTCTAGAAACAGTCTATGAAGCTTTAGTTTTAGCCTAGTAGAACAAACTGTTAGAGACAGACGTATAATTTTTATGGAATTACATGATAATCATATTCGGATTTCTAGAAGCATTTTACAAGTATTGCAATCATTGAGTAGAGATAATCATGGTATTTTCGTCAGCTTGGTACTTTTTGAAACATGACTGTGTTATGTGAACAAGCTGCAATTTTTCAGTCTGTGAGAGCCTGCCTTCCCTTCTCCCCCCCATCCTTTCTGGTCCCCAGTGATGATCTCAAACCGGTAACTTTAGTTCTGTCTACAAGGCCCAGGACTTGTCAGAAGGAAGCAAAAATGTAAAGGTACCCTCCTTCTCCCCGAAGAACAAAGTCCTCCCCACACCTCAGATGCAGGGCCGGAGCAACACGGCTGAAAAATTGCAGTTTGTCTGGATTACTTCTGTTTGAACGCCTTCCATGTTGTCCTGTTTACAAGTTAACCTGAGTTGGGGTATCTGTCACGGGTCTTCCTGTTTTTGTATTTAAATGAAACAAACAGCAGCAAGCTGTCCCCAGTAGTTTTGCTGCCCTAGTTAAGTCTTCATGTTGTACAGTGCCCGCCGTCTGGCAAGCACTTTAGTAAGTTATCAACTCACCGCTGTGAACCTGCCAATCCGCTGTAACAACTCTGCTTTCAAACAAAAACCAAACAAAACTTAAAAAAAAAAAAGTGTTTGTGATCCAGCATTCTTGTCATCCTATGTGCATGCAGTAAGATCGGTTGGATATTAAACCATCAATAAAGTTTCACAAGATTTGAAAACCAAGTTTCTGTAGCTTCGCTATCTAAGGCAGATGAGGGTTGTCTCGAACCCAGAGAGAAAGGGGGGAAACTGCTTAGCAGCCCGAAGTGTATATCAGACATTCTCTTCAGCAGGCTTCTCTGGGTGGGGGAGGGGCAGGACAGAGGGGTGATTTATAGCATCACTAAGACATTCTCATTCCCTCACCTGGGAAGCAATGTGATGACAGTTGATGTTTAGAAAGGCAACTATTTATTAAAATACTGTGGCATCCTACCCTGGAGGCGGGGAGGGGGGGGAGAGAGAGAGAAAGGATAGGAGGCTAGGGTGAATAAACAGATTTCTCCCAGTCGCCTCAAATTTCACACTCCAGAATTTGCATTGTGTTTGGAATCACAAACATAGAGTTCTTACTGTGTTGGTTAAAGTAAAATTAATTTGCAGTTTTGATTTTCCTTGATGAGCTGTACTTTTCCCCCATGACTGTATGTAGTTTTAATAAAATCATTTAGAGCAAGTGGGTGCCAACTGAGGTTACAAATCTTCTGTCTAGGCACTCCTCCAAGATGCCAACGAGTCATTTTAAAATGTATGTCAGAGATGTAAACAGACATTTTGGATTTTTTAAAACAGTATTTATTTGGAATGTTTTCATTTATCTAAATAACTATTGCTATTATGAATTATGAAAAAAAAGATTACTATCATGTGTGGCCTATAGTGACTTCTTAACACACACATCACGCAATCTGCAAACCCAGAAAATGTGTATATCTGTCTTTAGAAATTAGTGTTTATATCACTTACAGTGGTTTGTGAATAAAGAAAACTGGTTTGTAATATCAAAAAAAATAAAAGCTTAGTCTGAAAAGGTACCTGTGAGTTGGTGTTCTCAGTCCTTTGGCTTCTGCGTGTTTCTTTCAAGGGTGTGTCCAGCAGGGGGCGTGGTGTGGGCTGCTCAGGTGAGTAGTAGGCTGCTATAGCCACTGGTGGCGCCCCCTGCAGGTGCACTGCCTATGTGGTGTGGCACACAGGGCTATTCCCAGCATGGAAATGTCAATTTTTGGATTAAAACAAAACAACAAAAACAAATTGTAAATTTCAGTGAAACATCTGTCCTAGTGATTAATACAACTCTGGGGTGGGGAGAGGTTTGTGTGATGAGGATGAGAAAACCAGTAGTGCTAGGGTTACGTTCAAGGAGTGCTTAGTATGGGCCACGAATCCAGCTTAGGCTCTTGTGTTCCTTATTTCATTTAATGACTTAACACTTCTATCAGGATGATCTGCCCCGTTTAGTTATCGTAATAATATCTTACTTCTATCTCATTCCATTGTCTTAATGCCCCTATCAAGTTTTCAATTTGCGGGGTCTGGAAGCCATGTTGGGAATTTGAATCCCGATTCTGTCACTTGTTAGCTGCAGCCCATGGCAAGTTCAACCAGAGTTCTCTGCCATGGTTTCCTCATCCATAAAACTGAATGGATAGCAATCCGTGCCTCTTAATATTGTGGAATAAATAAAACAATCTATGCGACGGGCTCACAGCTGTACTTCATCAACTGTAAGCTATGGTTATTTACAGGGAGGAATCTGAGGCAAAGAGAGCTTAACTTATCTGAGATCACACGTCAAGCAATTGGCAAAGCCCGAATCTCAAAACTGGCATACTTCATCCATGGGGGCTCTTTTCTCCTGGCCCATAAACATTCAACTCTAGAAACGATAGGACTTACCCTGAGTGCCCCACACAATCTCACAAGGCACGTTGTCTTCCTAGCAATTATCATACCACGTCACATGTACTCAACGGTCCCCTCTCTATAAACTCCTTGTAATATAGAGAACTCGGAGGGTCATAGTCAACTTCCATCGCCCTGTGTCAATTGGTCCTTGAAGGCAATATTACCCTCCTTTTGTAAATGAAGACAATGAGAATTAATAAATCATATGATTTGCCTGAAGTCATGTCTAGCAACAGTGGGAAGCAAGGTCCCATGAGGATCTGTCTGAGCTCGGAGCTTATCCTTCTTCCAAAATTCTGCTCCATTATTTATGATGAGGGTGGTGGGAGTGGGGGTCATGTTAAACCTGGGCTTCTAGTACTCTCCTTACAAAATATGTGAGGCTGTATCAATTCAAACGAAGTCGTCGTCGTGAGCTTTCTCCTGGCATATGGCAAGGAGGGAGATAATTATCTCCTAACATGCTGGCTTTCTAATTGAGTCCCCTCCCTCGCCAAATCGGAGGATGTGAGCATAGATGTGAAGAGCAGTCATTTACAGAATCTCCAAAACCAGGCTCTTCTCTAAAGTGAAGGTAAGCCTATAAATTTCATGTGAAGTGTAAAGTGTAAAGTAAATAAGAATGATGGCAGAACTGAAAGGGATGTTTCAAAGACTCCGCCAGCAGATGCAAATGTGTGTCCCCTGCAGTGTGGGCAGAGGTGAGCAAAGAAGCCCAGAGGAAGCCCATGTGCGAGGCACGGGACTGTGTCTAAATTGAGGCTCTTTTCTGTGTTTTTCTTGGACAACGCTCAGGAGGTAGAGTTTCATCCCACCTGCAATTTTTTTCTTAAAACAATATTTTAATGAAACAGTAAGACCTTCTGTTTATTTAATTAGAAATAAAATAAAACAGTGCAGGTGCCGTTTCATTGCTCAGACCACAGTCTCAGTCCCGTCCCATTTTCCTACTCAACACCCTCAGGACCTCAATAATACATGGTGACATTGGAAGGCTATTTCTACTTCCTAGAAAGCAGAGAGCTCCACCGAGCACTCCGCTTTCCCAGGCCTATCCCAGGCAACCAAACATGCACACACATGCATGTACACATGCACTCGTGTCCATGTGCATGCTGCACTTGCACACACACAGCAAACTTCCTTTACTGCTGTGGCAGTGCCCCTTTGAGGTGCCATCCATGACCTCCTCTCTTAGAAACACCTGATGAGCTTGTTTGAAAAGCAGATTCCTGGGCCTCATCTGCTTTGGGCATGCCCAAGTTTGAAGACCACCATCGTGTGGGAAGGACCACCTTCGCTAACTTCTTGAGGGTGCTTTTGTTAGGTTCTCCCTGAAGATCGACTCTCATCATGCCAGCAGGACCAATCAATGTGTATGTGTAGGTGTGTGCGCATGCCTATGTTCACTCAAGCATATACCTACCTCTGTCTATGAAGATAAACATTCTCAACCTTGCTCATGACCACCTGATTATTTTCTCACCAATAAAGT